TGATGATAATAGTTTGTTCGTATATGTATTAAAGATACATTTTGTTAGTCCATGTTTTGTAATAATACTGTTTTTAGTATTATGAGGATTATGATGTGAATTGTATGTATATGGGATTATGGGGGTTGTCACAGCGAGTGCGGTAGAAATGTGAATATCGAGGAGGGGTGTGGCTACATAATAGGGGCAAGATAAGAAATTAGGATGTACATGAAGAGGTTGGAATGACAGCAACTGAGAAATTAATGAAACAATGTTTGAGGTGATCGTCTCCAACAAATACCTTTAAATGTACCCATCAAAAGATAGTTTTTTTCTAAGAGGTCTCTGAGAGATTGAGGTCATCAAGAGTTCAAGACTGATACAAGGAAGTAGTGAAGATGGTTTTGCATGATTGGATATAGGACAAACGTGTTATCATCCATGTCTGGACCCCTAAGAGGGTTAACATCTTCCTCTTTGCTTTTGGGTTACATCATTTTGTAACTTCTTTTAGTTACAAATTTGCTTGTTATCTTTATTGCTGCAGTCAACAAATAAATAAGAGGCTGAAACCTACACAGGAAATAAGGAGCACTTTCTGGTATTGTATATCGAAGTTGCATGCCATGACCATTGTGCCTTGAAGAAGAAGAGAAGAATAATTTACAAGTTACAAATAATGGGGGAAGCAACAAGTAGCGAGAACCACAAGTGACGGGTACACACAAAAATTGAGAACCAGCAATGTGTATTTATAACTTACCCATGAACAATATGCTTCCGGAGGTTCATCTGAAACATCAAGTTTAGCTTGTAAGTGGCTTCCTTCTTCCTATAGACACAATTCAGATCACCAGTAAATAGACTTGATTCCAAAGGGAGTAACTTCTATAAACTTGCATGCCCCACAATACCACTCCGCTAAGAACTATATAAAGGACAACTGCTTCAAACATTGTTTTTCAAGTTGTGTCATGTAGAGCATGATTTGTCTTTAACTTATCCTTTTGAAGGGTTCACGATAGTAAGTGGCAAGCGAACATGCCATAATGTTTCACATAAATATACACAAAAATAAGGTTGTCATTTACATACAAATGAAAGTTCCACAAAGAATTGATCCTGTGCATACTGGCTCTGTGCTAAATAATTATGTCCAACTAGGTGCAAATTGCAACTGTCTAAATAGACTTAAAATGTCTTACACCATCGTTGAGCCCCACTTTGTATGTTTTTCAAGGATTGAAGGTAGCCAGGAAGGACTGCTCATCATAAAAGTTATCATTTATTAAATAAATACATCTTTTTACACATTTATCTACTGCTTCTGGCATGGAGTACTAAGGATCTAAAATTCATCCATTAAAAGATACACTAAAAATGTGAAGGGAACTTTGCTTAAATAAAAAAGTAAAGGGAAAAATGAGCAAACACGTGTACCTATCGACAGTTTCAGTAAAGATTCTCAACTGGATGAGCCTATCAACAGCAACTCTATGCTTTGTAGCACCATCAACAAGAACCCACTCTTGCAATGAACTGGCGGTCACAGGAGCATCTATATACAATAATTGGAGAACATACTTCTTGGCCAGTGGTGGCAAAGACCTGAGCAACAAACACAGATTGTTACAAATAAATCATGTCGTCTGAAATTTTATCAGAACTATAAAATGCTCTAACTTGAAAGCAACATATTCCTTCAACTTTCTTCAGTCATCATCAAAAAAATACAAAGATAGGAAACCAAATGAACAAATAATACCAGACATTAGTTACGCTGTTTGTTTCAACGCTAACAGATATGCAGAATTATCTGTGTACTTTTTTGGAGACATCGATGATAGATAACCGAACCATAAACTCATATTTTTGGTAATCTAAATGGTTATAAGAGTACGAAATGCGATTTTAAAGCATAGATTAAGAAGAACACATCGTGCAAACAATCAAACATACATTAACAATAAAGAAGAAATATGATTTAGATAAAGAACCTGAGAATAGCTTCACAGATAAAGGCATTTTCGTATAGCCTGTCGAGCTTCATGGCAGGTAACGAGGCCACCATGTCCATGAAGTTCTTGGCTATAATCCTCACTTGCGGCATCTTGATCAGTTTTTTAAGCTCTTTTGGTAGTTTCAAAGTGTGCGCAGATCACTGGAAGAATTTTTATTGAATTTTGAAATTAGGGCTTGAGAGAGTGCCGCTTTTTACTGTGGCCAAAGCAGCAGCGGTGGCGAGGAGGGTCAGCTGCCGCGGGCACGATTGGAAAAAAAAAAAACCCGAACGATTGTTGCTGAATACATAAAGTCATAAACCCCAATCAGATGATAACTTTTTGAGTAAATAACGATTTTCATCCCCGCGGTTTGTAAAAACCTGTAACCTTTTATTTTTTAAATTAAGATATTTGTTTATATAATTTGTAATTTATCGTTGTTTTCGTTTATAAATCTAACTTTATTAATAGATTTCCAAAAAGAGTATTCATGTGCAATGCAGCGAGAAACATCTCGATTTTAATGTTCTATTTTATTATTTATTTCTGTCGATGTTATAATACGATTTTATTTGTTTTTAAAAAAGCAATAATGATTTTATTTTTTAAATAAAATATAAATTTGAAGATATCATAAAAATTTGAAAAAAAATAATCAATCTTAATATCAAATCAACTATTTAAAAGTTCTATTATTATGTAATTTCTTTGATTTGTTTTTTTATTATAATTTAATTTAAGTTTAATAACAAAATAATTTATTTTTGGTTTAATAAAATAATATTTTATAAAGATAATAATTAAGTATTCTGTTAGAACTCAATGATTATTCTATTTATATTTTATATTTAAAATAAGATGTTTATTCTGTATTTGATTATGTTTACATGCAGTTAGTTACACGAATTCAGATATGGAGCTTTAATAAGTTGTACTTACGCACAATCTACTCGCAATCTTGAGTTTTAAGTAATATGCATTAATAAACAGTATTTTACGCATAAAAAATATTTTTTAAGAATTTTTGTCAAATGTTTTATAATATATTATAGATATTAAGTATGATAGAAAAACTAACAATAAAACCGAAAACAACATTTAACTGTGAACCACAAATGGGATATTCATACTAAAACAGAAAGTAGTTGAATTTTTTATAGAAAGTTCAATCGTGAAATATTATGATCACTTAATAATTGCACATCTACTAATCAACCCTCGGGCCCTTACAGACTATGTTTAAGTGAGAATCGTATAAATTTTGCAAAGCCAAAGTGATGCGTGTAAACAACGTTAAAATATGTGTGTACATTCACATTCATGGTCTTGTTTCAAATCAAATATGTGGTCATGTATATTTGACAATGTATAATCAGGTGGGCTTGAATTGGATGCTGGTTTAGTATGGTCATGACTATATATCTATATGGTTGGTTCATTATAGAGGTATGTGGACGGCCTCTTGTACACTAGTAATATACTAAGTTTGGTGCAAAACATTAAAATCCATCTATGTTACACATTAATTGACAATATCTCTTCTTTTATGTTGTATTTTTATATACACTAGTGTTCCAATCGTGCGTTGTGCGGTAGCGATAGTACCATTTTTAAAAAGAATGTTATAGGCTAAAATTTGAAGTCCTCTTCTAAAAAAATTAGGCAAATTTGTGTGGCAACTACTCATTAACATTAAAAGTTTTTTAAGAACAGTTGACAATAATCTTATAACCATGTGCTAATTTAAGTTATCAAACTATGCTTGAGAACGATGTTGCAAAGTACTTTACAAATGTTTGACTAATATTAGTAGTTTTTTTAATTAGAAGTCATATTTTTAACTGAAATCTCATCTAAAGTGACAAAATCACAATTTTAATTTTGTTACAAATTTAATTGAAATCTCATTTGAAGTTATGAAAAATAAACGTTCCATAGTGTTTCACGTGAAAATTAGATAAGTGCGTAAGTTGTAACAACAATAGTGGAAGTTCAAGACGATGAATAAAGAATCACATCACCAAGCTAAGATAATGGATTTTTTCTCATAAAAGAATAAAATTAATATCAAGTGGGGTCGGTGACCACATATCAGATATTAAACTGATAAAAATACTACACTTTATCGTAACATTCTATAATATTTGAATTATAATTAGAGAGTTGTGTCAAACCTTGATAGTAGTAACACCAAGATGACAGATAAATAACTACCCCACGTTGCCAAATCATCATCCATGGTTTCACTTTTATATTTGTACTATAATTTTTACCATTTAATTGGTTTTGATTCCAACCATGGTATATATTTCAAAGATGATCCTCCAAAATAAGACAATTCTATGAGGCAAATTCCATGATTTGACAGGAAAGCATCAAATCCATCTTTCTTATACACTTCACTTTGTTCAAATCTTTCAACTCTTCATCAATGTGGGACAACTAAAATTCATCAAAATTTCATCATTTGAGAATACTCAATTCTCATGGTGCCACCTCAATACCCCAAGGTTTTATTATATATATAAAAAGATAAAGATAAATATTTTTTCAATTTGGTTGGTTCTGATCCCAACCATCACATGGTTATAGATTTCAAAGAAGGTCATTCAAGGTAAGACAACCCCTATGAGGCAAACCCCAAGAATCAACACAAAGGCACCAATCCATCTTTTTATACACTTCATTTTGTTCAAATCTTTCAACTCTTCACCAATGTGGGACAATTAAAACTCAACCACAATTCACTATTTGAGAACACTCAATTCTCATTGTGTCACCTCAATACCCCAAGGTACTTTTGATATATGTGTGTGTGTGTGTATATATATATATATACTACCTTAATATGCATTTACATCAAAGTCTTAAGTACTACCTTTAAAGCATTAGGTACTGCTCTTTAATGCATGGRTTTTAAAAATCTCTTAATTTCAWATTGTGATGCATTAGGTACAAGTTTGTAAGGCATCATCTTACCTACCACCAAAGAAGACTATTTTGATTCATCTTTCATCCTAACCAGTTGCTTTAGATCCACTTTCATCATAAGATTCAAAAATTCAAATAACCCACATCTCTACCCTTGATGCACCCATCGCCTAAAACCATTGAAATTGACATGTCCAGCCTTCTTTTTCTTTTTGTTCAACTTTTTTTTCTTCCCAAATTAAGCTTTCTTCCAAAGATTCATGTGTGCAGCTATTCCAGCTTCTGATCTGCCTATTCAAAATTCAAAATTGTTGCTTCGTCCAAGGATTCTTCTTCCCAGCAAATCTCCTTCAATTTTAAACTTATTTGTAACCTTCTCCACTCCAACTATCTCCATCTCTCAACTCTTTCCACCTTTACTCACCGTGACTTGATTTATCCATTTCTTGACTATGTGGTAGTCTTCAAATTGATGTTATATGTGTTTTCTTGTGCTAAATTCATGTGTTGTCTTTATAAACACCAAGTGTTTGATGAAAGTTCTCTATGATGTCTTCTAACATAATTTTCTTATGTGTTTTTTAGTGTTCACTCAGGGGTTCATCTCAGCTCATAGGGAATGGTTTTCTAATTCATGATCACCGGTACACATTCAAAGTGAATCGACTCCACGATTCGTGGGCTGAAAACTTCATACCCACGAGCACAAATGCAGTATTTGTTGCTCTTCATATAAGTTCGGTAAACTAGTTTTACTTACAATATCACGAGCCATTGGTCCGAAGATCTTCATGTTGGGATCTTTATCATGCCAGTGTTGAATTAGGATCGGTCAGAGGCTTCTGTGCATTCCTCCCGCAAAAAAAAACAAGGATTGGTCTTTCTAAAGGTGGGTTTCCACCAAGATCTTTACGGGATCTTCTGTGCTACGAATATATGTGGCCGGAAGAGTCGTGTCCTTCCTGATCTTGAATCCACCTGCAAGATTCGAGTTGCAAAGAGATCTAATGCAACTTCCCATAGGGTCTTTCGTTAGTTTCATCGCATGTAGCATTTTGATAGTTTTGTGAAGCCAACCAAGGTATATTGAGAAAAAAAGATCCATCAAAAGGTTATCACCCTACACACTACAACAAAGTCAGTTTTATAGGATGCCAAATATGTCTAAATATCATAATAAACTTATAAAATATAAGTCTACAAAACCAAATAATTGTGCGTCATATACAAATGTGTTACAATAAATTGATAGACACTTAAGCTCAAATCATCATCTTTAAGTAGTGTTCGTGTTTGGTTGGGTGTTACATGCTCCTGTTAATACTGCATCACTTTCTAATATGCAGGTTCTTGTGGGTGTTGCACTTCTGATGTCAAAAGTAGACAATGATGTTGTTGCAATAGCTTCCTTTGCATGGTATAAAAAGTCTATGTTTTTAATCCTTTTCCAATTTCCTTTTTGGCATTGCTCCTATATATCTATTTGCTACATTATGCCAATCAGCGTGAATCGTAAGTAGTCGCTCAGTCATGTTTATTATTTTCTATCCTTTTTAATCGAACACCTTTCACGAATCAGCCACACTTTAATATTTCTATTTCATAAAATATCAGTGCTTATAGGCCATTAGTTGTTTGCTTGCATGTTTGTAACACCCCATACTACACATTGTATGTAACACATACTTCATGCATAAGAAATACATGTTTTATCACCACATTGGTCCCCTAGTACAAGAATCTACCAGTACAATATACGCAGTCCAAAAATTCAAAATACAATTCATGTACTATTCCACATTCCTTTAACAAAACTGTACATAACATAGCCAAATCTTCATGCAGATAAGCATATAGGGAATTATCACATTTTTCCTTTTCCCTTACCGTCTGCACCTCCTGCAATACATATTTAAAATCACAAAACAAGGGTTAGACCGAAAGGTCTAGTGAGCTCCCCTTTTTATGTTATTACAGTGTGAAAATCACCAAAACTTTATGTAAAACAACTTTTCATATATATAACAGGTATAAGAACAAGTAAGAGCATAATTACAAATACCTTTCCACTTTTCAAGCCAAATTTTCAGCTTTTAAAATTGACATATCTAAAGCCCAAACAGGTTATTATAATGCCACTTTTAAATCTTTTCAATTACACAAGGTTTATTTAAAGCTTCAGGCCAAACATGTTATTTCCTCCTCAATAACATCCAAACTATGATTTCCAATAAGAACTCTGATTCGAAATCCTTAAATCACAAAGAAATAAATATTCCAAATCACAGTAATCTTAAAGGATATAATAGTAAGAGTT